GATTGCTGAGCGCCGCATTGGCATGGTCATGGACGTCGCCCGTACGTCCATGATGCATGCGGCTGCCCCCCATTTTCTGTGGCCGTTTGCGGTGAGGTACGCGGCGCATCAGATCAACCTTCACCCCAGGGTTTCACGGCCGGGGAAGGTCCGTACCTCCCCGGCCCTCCTGTGGACTGGGAAGATCGGCGATGCGTCTTTGTTCCGTGTCTGGGGATCTCGGGCGTTTGTCCGCGACTTGTCTGCGGACAAGCTGTCCCCCCGTGCTTCTCCCTGTGTCTTCCTTGGCTTCCTCCCTGACGCTCCAGGGTGGCAGTTCTACCACCCCTCCTCTCATCGTGTTCTGTCCTCCCATGACGTCACGTTCGACGAGTCAGTCCCCTTCTACCGCCTCTTCCCCTACCGTACTCCTTCCCTCCCCCCACCACCGGACTTCCTTGTGCCAGGTCCCCCCCCGGTAGACCCCCTCCCCCCTCAGGTTCCTGCCCCTTCAGGTGTGTCCCAGGTAGACGCCACAGAGATGGCTGCAGAGATGGCTTCCTGGAAGTCCACAGGTACCTACGTTGACGAGGTTCCCCCTCCTGGGGCGAACATCGTCAGTGGCATGTGGATCTTCAGGGTGAAGCGGCCGCCTGGCTCTCCACCTGTCTTCAAGGCGCGGTACGTCGCTCGTGGCTTCAGTCAGCGGCAGGGAGTTGACTACTTTCAGACCTTCTCTCCCACCCCGAAGATGACTACTCTTCGGGTGCTGCTGCACATAGCCGCTCAGCGCGACTACGAGCTTCACTCTCTTGACTTCAGCACTGCTTTCTTGCAGGGCAGCCTGCACGAGGAGATCTGGCTGCGCCGTCCGCCTGGCTTCACTGGGACTTTCCCTCCTGGCACCCAGTGGAGCCTCCGACGGCCAGTCTACGGTCTCCGCCAGGCACCGCGTGAGTGGCACGACACACTGAGGACTACGCTTGCGGCTCTTGGGTTTGCTCCCTCTACTGCTGACCCGTCGTTCTTTCTGCGCACCGACACTTCTCTGCCGCCGTTCTACATCCGCGTGTACGTCGACGACTTGGTCTTTGCCACTGCTGACACTGCTGGACTTGCCTACGTGAAGTTCGAGCTGTAGAAGAGACACACCTGCACAGACCTGGGTGAACTGCGCAGCTACCTTGGCTTGCAGATCACTCGGGACAGAGCACGCCGCACCATTACCTTGACTCAGTCACACATGGTGCAGCAGGTCCTTCAGCGCTTCGGCTTCACGAACTCCTCGCCTCAGGCCACTCCTTTGGCTACTCGCCACTCGCTCTCAGTTCTGCCTTTCGATGAGTCCGTAGAGTCGAGTGGCCCGTACCCAGAGCTTGTTGGCTGCCTCATGTACCTGATGACCTGCACACGACCTGACCTTGCATACCCTCTTAGCATTCTTGCACGCTATGTTGCTCCTGGGAGACACCGACCAGAGCACATGGCTGCAGCGAAGAGGGTGTTGCGCTACTTGTGCAGTACGTCGGGCATGGGGCTAGTGCTTGGAGGGCGGAGTCCAATGGTCCTCACTGGTCACGCGGACGCTTCTTAGGCTGACGACCAGGCTACGCAGCGGTCGTCGCAGGGGTACACCTTCAGTCTTGGTTCTGGCTCTGTTTCTTGGCGGGCTACTTGCTCGTCTTCTGTTCTCGGCTCCAGTTGTGAGGCTGAGATCTACGCCGGGGCCATGGCTGCACAGGAGCTTCGTTGGCTCACCTACCTGCTGACTGACCTTGGAGAGCCCCCTCGTTCTCCTCCAGTGCTGTACGTAGACAACAAGGCCATGCTGGTCTTGTGTCGAGAGCAGCGCTTGGAGCACAGAACGAAGCATATTGCTCTCCGTTACTTCCTTGCTCGTGAGCTGCAGCAGCGTGGTCAGTTGCGACTTGCGTACGTGGCCTCTGAGGCCAACACTGCTGATGTTTTCACCAAGGCACTTGCGCCTTGTGATCATCAGCGCTTCTGCACTCAACTGGGACTTGTACCTGTCCTACCTCACTTGCTCACCTCTTGACCTTGCTTGTACTCTTGCATATATATATACCTGCTCTTGCTTGTTTAGCCTTCTATATATATGTCTCATCTTGCATGTGAACTGGCCTTGTGGCCTTGACCTTGTGCTCGGACTGTGTGGTGACTTTGTGATCCACCCTGAGCTTTGCTTTGCTTTGCTTGACTGGTCTTGTGACCCCTTGTTCTCCCCCACTTTGCCTATGGGGGTGTGTCAGATCTTATAGCTTATACTTCTGTGTAGGCTATTGTGGGGTATCCCATAGGGGGTACAACCCAATTAGGGTTGGTACTTGTACTCACACATTCATAGTTCATTCATTCCTGTTCCTTAAAGTTTCACAGATTGAACGGCCAGGATGACTCGTATGTGCAACGTTTCCTATCTGTATAGTGAATTTCTCAGACATGTTCAACAATACTCACAACAAGCGTCGAAAAGGCAATGACCTTGCGATTATGTGTTATGGAGTATACAGCTTGAAGGTACCCTAAACTGTACCAATTTCTTGTAATTTATGAACGATTTCGTTACATGTGTAGCAGGTGTGTGATTCTAGTTCCACTACAACACTAAATTCATGTATTTCCAACGTAATTCATACGCCATTTTATGTCTGCATTGTATTTTAATTATCATGTTATATTTCCATAGTAAAAATTTGCATGTGTTAAATATGCAAAAAAATCAACAACATATTCATAAATCACAGTAAATGTTTTCGCGTACATAAATCTACATCAACTAACACGATAAGTTACACTGGGAACATTTATACAAGGTATTGGAATCTCAATCCATCGATGGTAGGGGCAAAATTTCGACCAACCAGAACGTGCAGGCGTGGAGCTTCGCGACTGGCCAAAAACTTCAGAGCTACTTCCAAACCTGTGCCAAACCTACAACTCACCATCCATGCCTCGAAATCAGGTGCGACTTCTCGGTCCAACACGCAACCGATACGCCACCAAAGCATCCAAATCGCAAACCATTGGCCAAAGCCAATGGTTTGCAAGTCGAAACGACTGGTTTTACCCAACCAGTCACTGGCAACTGGTTTCCGATACGAAAGCGAGAAAACATAGTTTGGTGATGAGGGGCTTCGTCTTGATTGTCAGTGGAATCCGGCCGCCATTCCCTCTTCCATCGGCGGCCTTGCGTCACTCAAGAGCCTGCACATCACCGACAGGGGGACAATCGCAAATCGCCCTCCTTCCAGACGCGTTCACGTCGTTACAGGCACTCGCGCATCTCTTGATTAAAATGCCCGGTCTGGATGAACTGCCGCAGGACTTCCGCAATCTGAGGCTGCTCAAATCGCTCCATCTGATCGGCTGCCTGAGTCTCGGTTCCATTCCCCGATTCTATCGGGCAGCTTACCAACTTGACGCAACTTTCCATCAGTGGCTCCACAAGGCTTCAACTGCCCGAGCCCATCTCCAACCTTACATCGCTGCTGACCCTCGAAATTTCCAACTGCAAAGACCTTTCACCACTGCCCAAGAGGTTCGGGAATCTGCCAGCGCTTGAAACCCTACGTCTGGAGAATGTGTGGGGGATCTCAAATCTGCCCGCGACTCTCGGGCAGCTGACTTCTCTAACGAACCTTATCCTCGACTGCCTAGCTCTCCACCATCTGCCTGACGACGTCGCTCTCCTTCCACGCCTACGCACGCTCAAGCTAGACGTTGGCATTGCAGTGCAGCTGCATCCCTCCGTATACCTCGCCGCCACACTCAAAGAGTTCACGATTGAAAAGACTAGAGCTTTACATTCACTGCCCGAGGAGTTCGGGCTGCTTACTGCCCTCGAGGCCCTGCGCCTGGTTGAGCTTCCGCGGCTCAGCAGCCTGCCCGCGTCACTTGGCGACCTGAGGAGCCTCAAGGAGCTGAAACTTGCGACATGCAGCCTGCTGACGCAGCTTCCCGACTCCTTCACTCTGCTTTCTTCCCTTGAGCTGCTGGAAATCAAGGATTGCTGCAAACTAACAGAGCTACCGCCGGGCATGGGGGATGGTCTGCATAGCCTGCGCGGAGTGACCCTGCTCAAATGCACGTCTCTCACCCACCTCCCTCCATCCTTCTCCAGCCTCTCCTCCCTCGAAACCCTGGTAATCCATCGAGCGACCAGCTTAGGCGCGCTAGCAGACGAGTTTTCCCACTTGACAAGCCTTAAGGAGATCTCTCTTCATGACTGACCACACCTGTCCGCCCTGCCTGCCTGCCTCCCTGCCATCGGCCTCACTCTCACCAGCCTCAAGTTGAGCGGCTGCAAGTAAATCACAGCGCTGCCGGAGGAGATTGGACGGCTGGGAGCGCTTGAAGCTCTCACGCTCTACAATATGCCCAACCTGAAGTCGCTCCCTCACTCGCTGTGTCAGCTGCAGCGGTTGAAAAAGCTGCAAGTGAACTGGGGCAAGCTGCAGTCACTGTTTGGGGATGAAGACCAGGGAGTCGTTCCGCATGGCCATGGGGCGGGAAGCACCTGCCTCCAGTTACCCAGTCACACGGGTAGCACCTGCCTCCAGTTACCCAGTCACACGGGTAGCACCTGCCTCCAGTTACCCAGTCACACGGGTAGCACCTGCCTCCAGTTACCCAGTCACACGGGTAGCACCTGCCTCCAGTTACCCAGTCACACGGGTAGCACCTGCCTCCAGTTACCCAGTCACACGGGTAGCACCTGCCTCCAGTTACCCAGTCACACGGGTAGCACCTGCCTCCAGTTACCCAGTCACACGGGTAGCACCTGCCTCCAGTTACCCAGTCACACGGGTAGCACCTGCCTCCAGTTACCCAGTCACACGGGTAGCAGCAGAGCCGCTGGCAGCTGTGGGGGGTGCGAGGAGAGTGACATGGGTGTGTTGCTGCCATCCCTCCTGGATCTTCAACTGGCGGCCCTTCCACTGCAGCAGCTCGGTGCATCATTGGGCTCCTTCTCCTCGCTATCCCACCTCGAGATCTCGCACATGAATCGCCTCCGCTCGCTCCCACACTCCATCTCTCGCCTCTCTCGCTTGCAGTCACTCACGGTTACTCGTGCCAAAAGCCTGCTAGCTCTGCCAGAATCGATAGGGAAGCTCTCAGCACCCACATCCCTCCACCTTGACGGTCTCATGCGCTTGACTACTCTGCCTGAGTCACTTGGGCAGCTGAAGAAGCTTCAATATCTTCATATTGACCAATCCCCGGGCCTAACCAGGCTTCCCGAGTCCTTCCCTGATCTCTGCCGACTGCAGCGCTGCCATTTCTGCATTCTCGGCATTTCGTGCCTTCCAGATGACTTCTGGAAGCTCTCTGCTCTAAAATACCTCTTGCTCACGTCACTGCCCAAACTCTGCAGCTTGCCCGAATCTTTTTCGCAGCTGCCTGCACTGGAGGAGTTGAACCTGACCCAGTGCGAGGGGCTAGCTCAGTTACCCGCGGGCCTGCAGCAGATGGGGAGGCTGCAGACATGCATCATCAGTTGGTGCCCGCTGCTGCCGACAAGAACAGTTGCATCGATTCACAAAGCGAATTTGGACGAGGGCGAGCGCTTGGTTGAGGGGGAGGAGGAGGAGGAGGAGGAGGAGGAGGAGGAGGAGGAGGAGGAGGAGGAGGAGGAGGAGGAGGAGGAGGAGGAGGAGGAGGGGGAGGGGGGGGGGGGGAGGAGTAGTAGGAGTATGAGGAAGAGTAGGAGGAGGAAATGTTGACAGCGTAGGTGGATGAGGGGAGTGAAGGCAAAGCGAGTGAAAGGGAGGGAGGAGAGGGAAATGATGGGGAGGGGATCGAAGACGAGGTGAACGCAGCGGAGGGGAGCGAAGGGGAAAAGAGCGAAGAGGAGGGGAGCGAAGGGGGCTAGAATGAAGGTTGTCACAGTGTTTCATGTCAACCCAAGCTGTACTTGTTGGCGAACGACTTGTGAGCTGCATAAAAAGCATGTCATGTCAACCTGAGTTGTACACGTTGGTTCTTTGTTGCCTGAAAGCGTGTTGTTGGTGGTAAGGTTCTGCTGTCATGCTAAGGTTGCACCGCTGTCATGGGTGTGCGCAGGGTGCGCAGGTGGGGATGGTGCGGCTATTGTTGAGTCATTGTTAATTTTTCTCTACCATATTTCCAACCCATGGCGTGCAGGGGACTTTGGAGAGGAGCAGGTGCAGCTGGTGCAGCAGGTGGCGGCAGTGAAGGCCATGATGGGCGCTGTGGGCGCGCAGGTGTAGGTGGCAGTCATCCTCGGCAACCATGACGCCTGGTTCCACATGTTCAGATGCTTTCAGATGTTCAGATGGTTTCAGGTGCTTTCAGGTGTTCATGTGCTTTCTGGTGTTCAGGTGGATCCATTCCATGTGTTCACGAGCTCAGGTGGTTTCAGCTCAATGTGGTCAGAAATCCCAAATGTCATGCGGGTAAACTTCACAACCCTGTGAGCCTCAAACCTAGCACCCATGCACTGTCGTGAAACATGTGTCATGTCATCCTGTTCGTTTTCGTTCTCTCATGTTCAGATTCGCTCCTCATCCATGGTTTTTATATGCAGGAAGGAGAGTGCGCCACTGGTGGGTCGAGTCGAGTGGATGAGCTCTCACAGCAGCTTGAAGCGTATGCTCTCCCCCACCTCTCGCTCACCCGCTATCCTGTTCACCTTCTCTGCTGCTCTCCTGCTCTTCTGCTTTCCTAATCTCTATTCTGTTCTCATTGTCTCCTATCAGGTCTCATTATCTCCTGCTTTCCTGCTATCATGCTATCGTGCTACTATGCAACGCACTGACCCCTCCTTCTCGTCCCTCATCTCATCCTTTTTTGTCTCAAGTCTGCTTTCTCTCTCGCCCGCCGTTCACTTGAATCGCTCTTACTACCACCTCACATCTTGCATACGGTAGGGTGGACCTCCCCCAGGGGCACCTGTCCATCACCGTAACCGCTCTACCTTACCTCTCCTTCCCATTGTTCCCTCTGCACCCTTTCCCCCCCATATACCAGTCTGGGCAGCCTGCACGTGGGGTACGGTAGGGTGGACCTCCCCCAGTGGCGCCTGTCCATCGTGGGAGCTCGCCCCTTCTCCTACGGCCCCTCCAGCTCGGCTAAGAGCTTCTACCGCGCCAGGTGGGGCTCTACCGCACCAGGTGGGGCGTGCACAGGCGGAATGGCATGGCAGGTGCAGGGATGTGGGGTGGCGTGGGGATGGCAGGTGCAGACAACAGAGGGGCTGCAGTGGCTGCAAGATGCAGAGCGGTTTCAATGTTTGGATGCTTGCCTTCCCTTTCACCTGTGTGTTTTCGGGGTGATAAACACAAAGGACTATTGCAAGGGCTTTCTGTAAAGGTGTTTCTTCCTTTAAATCTGGTATGATTAGAAGGAACTGTGCGTCGGTTGCTCACACATGTGTTCTTCCATCTGTCCATCCCTCCCAACGCGCCATCAGGTGTGGAGTGCGCACCATGAATGCCAGCACGGCGAAGATCACAGAGACCATCCGAGCAGCACCGGAGGGGCCTGCTGAAGATGATGACGTCACCTATGTAGCATGCAGCGCACTCTATCCCTCTTAGGACCATGCCCATCGTCTGCTGAAAGATGGCAGACGAGTTTTTCATGCCAAACGGCATGAACTTCCACTCATACTGCCCATCGGCTCCGTGGAAGGCCGTCTTGTGCATGTCTTTCGGTCAGACTCGTATCTGGTTGAATCCTTGCTCGAGGTCCAACGTGCTGAAAACCACCGCCCCCACCAGCTTGTCGAATATTTCTTCGGGCGTGGGCATGGTGTAATTGTCCGCCTTGGTGATTTTGTTCAGGTCGCGGTAATCTCCACACATGCGTCGTGACAACACTTCGCCCGTCGCATCCTTTCTGGCTGCCACCACCGTCGCCGCCACATATTCCGAGGTCGACCTTTGGATGAGGCCCGCCTCCAGCAGCTCATGGCACTTCTCCTTGCACACCTCTTTATCCGCCAGGTACATCCTCCTCCTTTGAAACGTCGGTACTTCACTCGTGAGCTCATCCCCAGTTCTCCCACTTTGCTTTTCCCCAACTCCTTCAGTGTGTATGCAAAGGCTCCCCTGTGCGCCTTCAACACCTCCTTCAGGGCTTCCTACTCTGCTTCCGTGAGTCCATCCCCCACGGTCCAGACTGGCTCCTCCGGCACCTCCTTTGCGGGTCTCTCATCTTGACGTGCCTCTTCAGGGACTTTGATCACCGTGTACGCCTGCGTGCAGCTTTTCTTCGCTGTGCGGCTGCGCTGCCCCCCGTCCCTCAAGGCACCTGGCGGCCAGCCGCTCCGCCGGATTTCATCCTCTGCTTCGATTAACTTGGTCAATTTTCGCTTCTCTCGCTCGTAGCGCCACTAGTTCTCCTCGTAGCATGGCGCCCAGCTCGCCTTCTGCTCGACCTTTACGTCCATCTCCCAGAGCAGCAACTGCACTTCCACGGTATGCATGAGCCAATCCATGGCTTCCACGTCCATGCTTTGCCCAATTGCCCTCCTTTGCTCCCACTCCGCCACTCCCTGTGCCTCGGATGCGCCCGGCATGAATCCCATCGCTAGTTCCCGCTCCAGTGTCGTGGGCTCTTCCCAGTCTCCTTTGAAGGAATCGCAGACCATTCCCGGCCCTGGCTTCCCGTTTTCATTCGGAACGCATACGAGCCGGGCGACGCCACCAGCGTCGGCCATGCTTGCCTCGGCAAACCTGGCTCGTTGCAGGGATACTGTGACGGGTGATCCGGATGCATTACCGGGGCCTCTCGACGGTACGCTGCAGTATGTCCTTCACGTAGCGCGCTTGGGGCCGCTCCATCGTCGACAACTCTAGGCGGAGCTTCCCTTCTGATTTCCCGTTCTTCCAGTAACATCTCGGGCGATGCCCTCGAGACCCCAGCTGTGCGGCATCTGTCAAAACATATATGCTTACGTTGTTTAGGCTATTTGGGTGTTAGCACTAGGGGGTACACAATTTCATTCGATGTTGTTCTTGTACCCCTCCCCTTGACCTAATGACGACACTAATCTTCTCGACATTGTATAAAGCGGGTCCTCCCTAAGGTTTTTTTTTTTTTTTTTTAGGGCCCACCGTTTAGCGTTTTTCCTGCCCGGAATCTGCCCGTTTAGCCCGCGAATCGCCCAAGCGTAGACCATACAGCCCGCGCCCATCCCGTTTAGCCCGCGAACCGCCTGAGCGTGGACTGCACAGTTCGCGCTAGGTCCGTTTAGCCCGCGAACCGCCCGCGCGTAGCCCGTACAGCCCGCGCACCACCCTCGCACAGCCCATACAGCCCGCACGTCGCCCGCGTACAGCCCATACAGCCAGCGCACGACTAGCACGCAGTCCGTACGGCCAGCGCCAGGCCCGCGTGCAGCTAGTACACCCCGCGCTAGGCCCGCACGCAGACCGTACAGCCCGCGCCAGGCCCGTGCGCACCTACCCTGCAGCCCGTGCACTTGCACTGGCCCTACACCTCGCCGGCCCGCTATCCCTACTGCCCTACTTCTACTGCACTATTGTCATTGGCCTGCACAGTGTAGTGCCAGCAAGCGCGAGTGCCCTGCCCTGCTTGCACGTGTAAGCACTGGTCGCGCCGCCCTGCCCTATTGAGCGGCGCCCTGCACTGCCCTGCTGGCCTGCACCGCCCTGCACTGCTGGCCTGCATTACTGGCCTGCACTGCCCTGCACTGCTGTCCCACGCCGCCCTGCTGTACTGAGCCGCCCTGCACTGCCCTGCCGGCCTGCATTGCCCTGCTGGTCTCTGCACTGCTGGCCTGCACTACTGGCCTGCATTGCCCTGCACTGCTGGCCTGCGCCGCCCTGCCCTACTGAGCATTGCCCTGCCCTGCCCTGCTGGCCTGCACTACCCTGCTGGTCACTGCCCTGCACTGCCCTGCTGGCCGCGCTGCCCTGCCCGAGCTGGCCGCACCGCCCTGCCTGAGCGCCGCTAACAGCCGCGCCACCTTGCCCTACTGACTATCGCCCTGCTGGCCACCGCCCTGCTTTGCCCTGCCTACGTGATGCTCTGCTGCTAGCGCGCCCGACCGCTCTGCCTGCTATGGCCTCGCTCAGTGTCCTCACGTTCGATCCAGAGGGACGCCCGATAGAGTTCGATTCGTGGCTCGACGACCTACAGCTGTTCTTACTGAGCGATTCCGAGGACAGAGTCTCACTGTTTGACCTCGCGTCTGGCGCCTCTCTCGCCCCTGCCGCCACAGCTGACAATACGACTCGCTCACAGTGGCTTACTCGTGACGCTGCTGCTCGCTTAGCCATTCGCAATCACCTGCTGTTGGCTGGACGCGCTCACTTCGGACAGCATAAGACTGCGAAAGCACTTACGACGCTGTAGTCACTCGTTACTCCTCCCCGGCCACTGCTGCTCTAGGCCGTCTTCTCCTGCCCTACCTGTCCCTAGAGCTGTCCGTCTTTGCCACAGTAGCTGACTTCGTCACTCACCTTTATACTATTGACACTCGCTACCGCACTGCGCTTCCCGTCGAGTTTCTCACTAAGAACCCTCCTCCCATGTACATCACTCTCTACTTCATAGTCACCCGCCTCCTTGACTCTCTTAGTGCTGTCAGGGACCTCCTTCTAGCTGTTGACCCCACCACCGTCAGTGTCGACCTGCTCGAGAAGCACCTCCTTGCAGTTGAGACTAGCATAGTCGCTGTAGGCGCTTCTCGTGGCACTCCTCGCACCCCCTTCTTTGAGGGGTGTTCACCCTCCCCCCTTCTCCCCTCAGTCGCCTCTGCTGCAGCTGTTGACTACCTTTGTGCTGAGGAGGTAGGAGCTGCGTCTGCCCCTAGTGGGAGGCGCCGCAGCGGAAGGGGCAGGGGAGGGAGGGGCGGTGGGGCCGGCAAAGGTGGAGGCGGTGGTGGGGGCGGTGGAGGGGGCGGCGGTGGCGGAGGGAGTGGTGGTGGGGGTGGAGGTGTAGGTGGCGGCAGTGGTGGCGGCAGTGGTGGTAGTGGCGGAGACAGTGGTGGCGGCAGTGGGAGCGGAGGCGGTTCCAGTGGTGGCGGGCGGGGTGATACGAGTCAGAGGGGAGGCCTGGGCGGGGGTCAGAGGCAGCAGGAGCGTCAGCTTTCGCCCCAGGAGCTACGTGAGTGGTTTGCTCAGCGTGGGGCGGCTGGGGGTAGTGGTCCCTGCCCGTATGTCATTCGCACATGTGACCGCACTGGTCACACATGCGGAAAGCTCCACACCCAGTAGCGCTGCTTCTCCCGCCTTACCGATGCCTTTCGCACAGAGTTTCTAGACGCGGCTAAGCTCCCCCGCTGGGTAGAGCTACATTAGCAGGGTGTAGACATCTGTGCTCTTGATTATGATCCTATGCTATCTGCCACGTATGCGTTGACTGTTAGTGCAGAGGGTGACTGTTACCTATGTATGCTGCCAGACCCAGGTATTGAGGCTGCTGCTCTAGGTGCTAGTGAGTCTACTGCTCTAGATTCTGGTGAGTCTGCTCTCTCTGATACTGCGTCTGCTTTGACCTTGCACACCTTCATACTTAACTTAGGTGCTTCCCGCTGTTTCTTTCGCGACAGTACCACATTCACACCACTCTCTGCACCTGTTGCAGTCTCTCAGGCTGACCCCTCTGAGGGCCCAGTTCTTGCAGTTCCTCCACTGTTCTGCCTTGTCCGGCGGTTCCGTCTGGCTCACTGTCAGGTCTCCACCTCCCCTCGTTCTATACGAACATGGTGAGTAACGCCGTCCTTCAGAATGCTTGGGTTGATACCTTTACCCCTGGAGGACAACGTATGGCGATCTGCACGTGTGCACAGACGGGCCGTCACCTGGCCACGTTCACTCGTCGGCCTGGGTCGAGCCTGTACACACTAACTATTGAGCCGCCTCAGATAGCTGCGTCTGCGTCTGCGTTAGGTCAGCTTGTAGCCTTGCTCGTGTCGCGCCCTGTCGCACCAGATGCTCCTTTGGCACCACCGCCTTGGTCACCCCTCTGTGGCACGCCTCCGTGGCATGCAGTCCCATCTCCTTGTCTCTGGTCTTCCCAGGTCTCTGTCAACGGGAGTTGTGTGTTGGCCCCGTCCACGCTTGGGCGGAGCCGACTTCGTGGTGGGGTGTACGGAAGGTACAGCCGACTTGCAGCAGTGGGGACGCCGACTTGGACGAGCTGGTCGACGGGGTTGGTCGACTTGCTCGGCGCCACTGCAATGCCGCCGACTTGGGAAGCCGACGGCCGACTTCAACTGGTGGTCGGCGATGTGGCACGTCGACCTGGAAGTCGGCGCCGACTTGCCAGGTCACCGACTTGCAAGGTCACCGACTTGCAAGGTCACCGACTTGCAAGGTCACCGACTTGCAAGGTCGCCGACTTGCAAGGTCACCGACTTGCAAGGTCACCGACTTTGCACGTCGGCGCCGACTTGGGAGGTCGCCGACTTGGGAGGTCGCCAACTTCAAGAGGTCAGTCTAGAAGTCGGCGCCGACGTAGAAGGGGCGTCGACCTGGTGACGTCGACTTTGGGTAGCAGACTTGGGTGGTCGGCTGACAACTGCACTGGTCGACCAGGAGTGACGTCGACCTAGATCTGGTCGACCGGAGGAGTGGTCGACCTGGTGAGGTCGACTTGGTGTGGTTGTCGACTTGGGAGGTCGACGAGCACATACAGGAGCAGCTGGTCGACAAAGTTGCCCGGTCGACCAGGATACCCGGGTGACGAGGATCTGCGAAGGAGTGCGACGGTCACCCAGGCGAAGTTGGCGAGACCGACCTCCATGGTGGTATCCCGAGGTCGTCGTGGCGGATCAGAGGCAGTCGCTAGCCCGAGGTTGACCTGGTGTGTGCGCTGTGCAGATGACGAGACTTTGCATGCCAATCATCTGCGCGCACCTGCAAAGCGGGTGCACTGCTGTCCTGCGTGAGCAATGCTGGCACACCGTCAACCTGCAGCGTTGGCAAGCTGTCGACTTTGCACTGCTGGAGCGCGGTCGACCAAGTCGTGCTGGAACGCGGTCGACCATGCTGTGCTGGCAGTCGACCAACCTGAATGCTAGCTCTGATGTAGTCTGGCCATGCCAACTTGATTGTACCATTATTGACAACGTTCTCTAGTGAAACTCTTGCCAAATTGCCCCATGAACTAGCAAGCAGTGTGAGCACTAGGAAAACGTCTAAGGACCAACGAACGCAGACATCACACGAGCACACGTGCCTAGCCAGTACTCTAAGCTCCCGTTGTAGTAGTTATCTCCGCATGGTGCGGTGAGCGTGGACGACACCGCGACGTCGTTCAGTCTAGCCGACTTAGCACATACCGATCGTGTTCGTAGACCGGCAGCCGTGCGGTCACTAGCGTGCGCGTAGGCGACGCCGAGGTGATGGATACCCTGGAGGGACGGCTGGAGGATGCGAGGAGACGCCATGAGGCCCAGGAGTATGGGGCGATACCCTGGGCAGTCGTCGAGGCCGGACTCCGCTCCGTGTGGGCGGCGGAGCACCCCCCTTCCCGACCTGCCTCTCCTCGACCGGTGAACAACGACGGCGGCGTCGACGTGGGTGTCAACGCCGGTGGAGGTCAGGTCGGCAGCAGTGCGGGAGGCACGTCGAGGCAGAGAGGTGTGATACACGCCGGTGAAGTCGGCGGCGTTCAGGCGCGGGGGATGCAGTCGTCGGCGGCTGCAGACGCGTCGCGGGGTGACGTCGGAGGTCGACGGAGTGGGCTGTCGCCGATGTCGGCGTCCCAAGTGACGGCAGGTGGGATTGCACCGAGCTACGGCTACTTCAAGTTTACGCCGGACAGGATCTCGGTCACCCCTCCGCTGGTCGGTCGACCTGACATTCTCACCTGGAAGGAAGCCATCGAGCCCCAGCTGGAGATGGCCGGGCTGATCGGCTTCGCCCGAGGGACCGTGGCGACGCCGGGGGAGCACCACCCCGACCTGCGTGCGGAGTTTCGCGCTGTGCAGCTGTTGACCTTCACGGTCATCTCGCGGTGCTGCTCGCCGGGCGTGCAGATCGCCTTGAAGTGGTGCCGGGAGTACCTCGACGCCGGCCACCGGGCGTGGCACTTCATTGAGTCGACGTACCAGGTCACGGACGACCTATTCATCGCCCAGCTGGAGGGACAACTGACGCACCTGCGTATGGGTGACGAGGAGAGTGCGACCGACTACTGCAACCGAGCCAGGCGAATTCTCGCCACCATCAGGATGGCCGGCGCGCAGTACTCCACGGCGTCGTACATCACCCATGTCATGCAGGGACTCTCTAGCAGCTACAACCTGCTTAAGCGGCTGTCTATGGCGCCGAGCACAAGGGCGGCGCTCAACGAGGACAACCTGACCTCGTATATCCTGCAGGACGAGGCGATGCAGGAGGCTGAGCGATCGCAGGAGCTCTTGGCGCAGGCGAACTTGGTCACCTCAGCGAAGCAAGGAGGCCGACCGGGACAGCGCGGGCAGTCTGGCGGTGGTGGTAGCAGTGGCTGGAAGCCGGCCAAGGAGGTCGACAAGAGGAAGTCGACCAAGGACGGCGGTCGAGGAGGAGGAGGTCGACGTCGGGAGTGCTGGATCTGCCACAGCCCCGATCACCTCTCCTTCGAGTGTCCCGACCGCAGTGACTCCGACGACGACGACAAGGGTGGCCGCGGGAGGTCTGGCAGCCGTCGTCTTCGTCGTGGAGGAAACCAGCCGCGCAAGGAGAAGCAGTCGACCAAGACATCGACTTCGGCGAAGGACGCCGACTCCGTTGCAGGCGGCAAGGGGGGAGACGACAAGACGGCGTCGTGCTCGCTGGTCGGCGTCGTGGAGCCGACCATCTCTCTGGCGCCGGAGGCCGGAGAGGACTTCCAGGCGGTGGCGGCGGCTGTGCAGGCGAACCCGGCGGTGGTCCTGCTTGACAGCGGTTGCTCCCACCACCTGATGGGGACGAAGGAAGTCTTCGTCGACCTGCAGCCGAGCGGCTTCATCAAGCACGTGCGCGGCTTCAATGGGGCGCTGCAGGATGTCCAGGGCCGCGGCACCGTTGCCCTGCAAGGGGAGGCCGGGAAGCAGGTGCTCATCCCCGACGTGCTGTACGTCCCGGGTGTGCGGGCGAACTTGCTGTCGTCCGGCCAGCTGAAGGAGCACGGTGTGAAACTGCAAGAGGACGGTGACGGGATGCTGCTCGTCTCGGCAACGGGAGAGGTGCTCGGTCGGGCGACGTACTCCGGGCGTGTCCTCTGCACCGACCTGCGTCCCTGCCCAACGAGGTTGACATCGCCCACGACGGAGGTTGTGGCTCTGCGGGCGATCGTCTCGAAGACGAAGTCGACGCCGGACCGTATGCATGCCCGGCTTGCACATGTCGGCATGGACACCATACGGAGCTCGGCAAAGAACGAGGTCGCCATTGGGCTGGACCTCAAGTCGGCGACGGGCGCTGACTCACCTTGTGTCTCGTGCGTCGGCGGGAAGCTGGCGCGGCACACCTTCCCCGACCACGGCTCCGACGCCGACGATGTGCTGGCCGTCGTGCACATCGACCTGTGCGGGCCATTCCGCGTGGCTGCCAAGGATGGCAGCCTGTACTTCTTGTTGCTGAAGGACCGCAAGACCCGCTACGTGTGGGTGAAGCCGGTCACCAAGAAGTCAGATGCGTTGCCGAAGTTCGTGCAGTGGCTGGCGGTGGCTGAGAGGCAGACGAAGAAGTCGGTGTTGATGCTGCGCTCAGACCGGGGAGGGGAGTTCCTCGGGAAGCAGTTCACCGACTTCGTGAACGACAAGGGGATCGTCCACGACCTGACCTGCCCATACACCCCGCAGCAGAACGGCATGGCGGAGCGGGAGATGAGGACGGTGGTGGAGTCAGTGCGGACAATGCTGCTGCACATGGGCGTGCAGCACCACTGGTGGCACCTCGCTCTGCGACAGGCCGTCTGGGTCCGCAACTGTCTTGAGAGGTCGACGCTGCCACCGGGGAGGACGCCATACCAGCTGCTGACCGGGAAGAAGCCCGACTTGTCGCTGGCGCGGGTGTGGGGCTGCATGGCGCAGTTCCTTGTCCCTGAGCAGCAGCGTGGTGGGAAGCTGCAGCCGAAGGCCAGGTGGGGCGTGCACCTTGGCGTGTCGGCGGCGAGCAAGGGCTGGGAGCTCCTCGACGTCGACGCCGACCGGGTGGTCACCACGTCGGATGTGGTGTTCTACGAGGAGCTGTCGCTGGCCGAGTGGAAGACGGAGTACGGATCGGTGTCCGGCCGCTCGTCGCCCACCCCGCCCTCTGACACCTCGTCGGCGACGCTGCCACTGCTTGCCGAGGTCGGTGAGCTTGCTATTACGGACGTCGAGGACGTCCGCCCCCCTACCCCTCGCCCTCCGACCCCTGCCCCTCCCCTCGTGGCCGACATGCGTGGGCTGACCTCGGAGTCGGCCTTCGGCGATGAGGGGAGTAGTGGGACGTCGCCTTCGGCCAAGTGCATCGCTGATGGCAGACGTGACGAGCGGCAGGTCGACATGGGATTGCAGTCGACGTCGATAGGGGAGGAGCAGGTCGAGAAGCAGGTCGAAGACCAGCGGCCAACAAAGGAGCAGGCAGCAGTGACGCCGACCAAGGAGCAGTCGGCGACCGGGCAGTCGGCAGGGGAGCCGACCATAGGGGAGAAGTCGGCTGGGACGCCGGCTGAGGAGCAGCAGGACGCTGAGGGCAGCGACAACAGCAACGATGGAGGGGACGCCGAGGAGGTCCAGCCAGGACCACGGCGTTCAGGCCGACTTCGGAGGCCGCCTGACTTCTTCGTCCCCGCTGCCTTCACCACGGTGTACGACGTGGACGATGAGGCCGACGACCTGCTGTACGACGATGCCGAGGAGGATGAGGAGTTTCCAGAGCTCGACCCCGACATGCTAGCCGACCCCGAGCACCGTTGGGACATCTCGACGATGACGGTGAAGGAGGCGTTGGCGAGCTGGAAGGGCCCGGCGGTGAAGGCCGCCATGGAGGAGGAGATTCGCAGCCTCCTCAACATGGGAACGTGGGAGTTGGTCGAACGTCCGCCGGGAGTGAATGTCATGAAGAACCGGTGGGTGTTGACGACGAAGTACCACGTCGACGACACCGTCGAGCGCGAGAAGGCGAGGCTGGTTGTGAAGGGCTTCACGCAGGTGTACGGCGCCGACTACGACGAGACGTTCGCGCCGGTGGGCAGCTACGTCACGCTGAGGATCTTCCTCAGCATCGTCGCCGTCCGCAACCTCAACCTGATGCAGCTCGACATGAAGAACGCCTTCTTGCAGAGCAAGCTCGACAGGGTGCTCGACATGTCCCAGCCGGACTACTTCAACGACGGGACCGGCCGGGTGTGCAAGCTGCTGAAGAGCCTGTACGGGCTAAAGCAGTCGCCGCTGCTATGGTACTTGGCGCTCAATGACGTGCTGGTCGGCGCCGGGTGGAAGAAGAGCCAGGTCGACGAGGCTCTCTACTTCAAGGACGGAAAGGACAGAGTGGCCTGCTGGGTGCTGGTCTACGTCGACGACCTACTTGCCGCCAGCAGTAGCGCCGCGATGTTGAAGGAGCTGAAGGAGCTGCTAGAAGCCGCCTTCGAGCTGCGTGAGATCTCGCCGGTACAGAAGTACCTCGGGCTGGAGATCGTCCGCGACAGGTCGGCGGGGAAGCTGTGGGTGCACCAGCAGGGCTACGCCGACAAGCTTCGTAGGCGCTTCATCGACGAGGAGCAGACCGGGCGCACCCCGAAGACGCCGGTTTCGATCGATGCCTACGGCGAGCTCACGTTCGATGACGAGGAGGCACAGGAGCGGCAGGAAGAGGAGTACCGGCAGAAGGTCGGCTCGCTGCAATTCGCGGCGACAACGACGAGGCCGGACATCGCCTTCGCCTGCAGCAAGCTGGGGAGCGGCCTCACGGTGAGGAGCGACCAGCACTGGCGCGAGGTCGACCGCTGCCTCGCCTACCTCGTCAATACGCGCGACACCGCACTGGGGTTCGGCGATGGACCTGAGTCGCTGGAGCTGGTCGGCTACATGGACGCCGACGACGCCGGTGACAAGCAGAACAGGACGAGCACGGGTGGCTACATGTTCGTCTATGGAGGGGCCGCAGTCTCCTGGTCGAGCCAGCGCATCAAGTGTGCGACGTTGTCGTCGACTGAGTCGGAGTACGTGGCAGCCACCGAAGCCGGCAAAGAAGGACGCCGACTTCGCTTCCTCCTTGCAGAGTTCCGGCAGCTGGATGCCGGGAAGCCGACCGTCCTTCGGGTGGACAACAAGTTGGCCATCACAGTCGTCGAGGGCATGGGGTTGACGGGCAACCTCAAGCACATGGAGCGGCGACAGGCCTGGCTGCAGCACATGGTGAAGCGCGGGAAGTTCTCGCTGAGGTACATCCCGACCACTGAGCAGCCGGCCGACTTCCTGACGAAGGCGCTGCACTATCCGGCCTTCAACCGGTGCTCCGTCGCCATCGGCCAGGTGCGCTTGGCCGACGTGGGCAACGAAGATGACAACGTGCAGCAGTAGGTGCCATGCCCTCTTGCATGGCTGGTGCGGTGGACGACGTGCTGTGTGTTGGGTGCACGTCGACGAGCTATTCTCCGAGGAGTACTGCCGAGTGGACTTGGGGGGGCCAAGCGTGAACGCGGCAGGGGAGTGTCAACGGGAGTTGTGTGTTGGCCCCGTCCACGCTTGGGCGGAGCCGACTTTGTGGTGGGGTGTGCGGAAGGTACAGCCGACTTGCAGCAGTGGGGACGCCGACTTGGACGAGCTGGTCGACAGGGTTGGTCGACTTGCTCGGCGCCACTGCAATGCCGCCGACTTGGGAAGCCGACGGCCGACTTCAACTGGTGGTCGGCGATGTGGCACGTCGACCTGGAAGTCGGCGCCGACTTGCCAGGTCACCGACTTGCAAGGTCACCGACTTGCAAGGTCACCGACTTGCAAGGTCACCGACTTGCAAGGTCACCGACTTTGCACGTCGGCGCCGACTTGGGAGGTCGCCGACTTGGGAGGTCGCCAACTTCAAGAGGTCAGTCTAGAAGTCGGCGCCGACGTAGAAGGGGCGTCGACCTGGTGACGTCGACTTTGGGTAGCAGACTTGGGTGGTCGGCTGACAACTGCACTGGTCGACCAGGAGTGACGTCGACCTAGATCTGGTCGACCGGAGGAGTGGTCGACCTGGTGAGGTCGACTTGGTGTGGTTGTCGACTTGGGAGGTCGACGAGCACATACAGGAGCAGCTGGTCGACAAAGTTGCCCGGTCGACCAGGATACCCGGGTGACGAGGATCTGCGAAGGAGTGCGACGGTCACCCAGGCGAAGTTGGCGAGACCGACCTCCATGGTGGTATCCCGAGGTCGTCGTGGCGGATCAGAGGCAGTCGCTAGCCCGAGGTTGACCTGGTGTGTGCGCTGTGCAGATGACGAGACTTTGCATGCCAATCATCTGCGCGCACCTGCAAAGCGGGTGCACTGCTGTCCTGCGTGAGCAATGCTAGCACACCGTCAACCTGCAGCGTTGGCAAGCTGTCGACTTTGCACTGCTGGAGCGCGGTCGACCAAGTCGTGCTGGAACGCGGTCGACCATGCTGTGCTGGCAGTCGACCAACCTGAATGCTAGCTCTGATGTAGTCTGGCCATGCCAACTTGATTGTACCATTATTGACAACGTTCTCTAGTGAAACTCTTGCCAAATTGCCCCATGAACTAGCAAGCAGTGTGAGCACTAGGAAAACGTCTAAGGACCAACGAACGCAGACATCACACGAGCACACGTGCCTAGCCAGTACTCTAAGCTCCCGTTGTAGTAGTTATCTCCGCAGTCTCTGCCTCCCCTCCCACCCTCGCTTGCCCCTCCCTGTCTTCCCTATGTCGAGGGGCGGCAGCGCGCCGCTCCTCACTCCTCTTCGTTCCTCCCGACAGGGGCTCCCCTGCAAACTCAACCTGGACGTGTGGGGCCCAGCCCGCGTTCATGGGCAACGCCACGAGCGGTACTTTCTGCAGGTTGTCGACAACTACATGCGTTACACCACGGTCTTCCCCTTGTGCCGCAAGGGGGAGGTCCCTGATGTTTTGATCCCCTGAATCCGCGCTGTTCGTCTCCAGCTCCGTGAGCGGTTCAAGACGGACCTTCCTGTCTTGCTTCTGCACTCTGACAGAGGTGGTGAGTTTTCCTCCGACCTCTTGCGGGCCTTTTGTCGTGGGGAGGGTACTTGCCAGACGTTCATGCTTCCGGCCTCTCCGCAGCAGAATGGGGTTGCTGATCGCCGCATTGGCTTAGTCATGGAGATCGCTCGTACCTCCATAACCCATGCGGCTGCCCCCCATTTTTTGTGGCCTTTTGTAGTCCAGTACGCAACGCATCAGTTTAACCTCTAGCCCCGTGTCTCCTTACTGGAGACCTCGCCCACACTGTGTTGGACGGGGGAGGTTGGCGATGCGTCGGTGTTCTGGGTGTAGGGATGTCGTGCTTTTGTCCGCAATAGCTCCGAGGACAAGCTCTCCTCCTGCGCCGTTCCTTGCGGCTTTCTTGGCTTTCCCCTGACGCGTCTGGCTAAAAGTTTTACCACCCCACCACGCGCCCTATTCTGTACTCTCAGGACGTCACGTTTGACGAGTCGGTTCCCTGTTACCGTCTCTTCCCCTATCGCACTGCCCCTCTCCCTCCCCTGCCGCCCTTCCTTGCACCAGGTCCCCCTCCGGTAGACCCGCTCCCCCCTCAAGATTCTGCTCTCTCGGGTGTGTCCCAGATAGACCTTGTTGTGCCTGTCGAGGTCGCTATCGACTCTGGTGCTGCTAGAGGTGTTGCGTCTGGGGGTGCTGAGCCTGCGGATGCTGGGCCTGGTTGTGGGGAGCCTGGGGGTGCTGAGCTTGAGCGTGCGGAGCCTGGGGTTGCTGAGTTTGAGGGTGCGGCGCGTGGGGATAGTGAGGCCGCAGGTGTGAAGCCTGGGGGTGCTGAGCCTGAGTGTGCGGAGCCTTGAGGTGCTGAGCCTGGGGGTGCTAAGCCCAAGTGTGCTGAGCCGACAGGTCCTTCGGGTGTCTTGTTACGAGGGGAGTCTCTCTCTCCACTACAGCTGCGCGAGTGGTTTGCTCAGCGCTGGAGCCTCCGGAGTGGTGCTGCTGGAGCTGGAGCTGCTGGAGGTGAGGGAGCCGCTAGTTTGCGAGGTGCTCGTTCTGGAGGTACTGGAGCTAGAGGTGCTGCTAGAGCTGGAGCTGCTGGAGGTGCTGGAGCCGCTGGTCTCGGAGGTGCTCGTACTGGAGGTACTAGAGTTACTGCAGCTTGGGGTGTTGTTGGAGCTGGAGCTGCTAGAGCTGCTGGAGCTGGGGATGCTGCTGGAGCTGGAGCTGCTGGAGCAGGGGGTGCTGCTGGAGCAGGAGGTGCTCGAGATACAGGAGCTGGTGGAGATACTGGAGCTGCTGGAGACCCTAGAGCTGGAGGTGCTGGCCCTTGGGGTGCTGGTGCTGTTGGAGCTGGTTCTGGAGGCGCTATGCGACCGCGACCGTACTTTGTTCCACTGTTTCAGCAGGTTCTTGGTCTCCCACCTTCTACTGACCTTCAGCCTCCTTTACTGTGTCCACCGCCTGACCACTCACAGCCACAGCTATTGCCAGCCTCTGCACTGGCGACTCCTTCTCCTTACATTGAACAGCCAAGCGGCCTTACAGAGCCTCGTGAGCCTGCGCCTCCTCTTGGGTCGCCTGTTCGTGCTATTCGCACTAGTCATTCTGTTCCACGTCAGTGTCCTCTTCCTGTCCCCGGCACGCACCAAATGGCACTTCGTCCTTCCTCTGTTTCACTGCCTGTCCCTCTGCCGTCTCCTCCGGCATCCTCTCTTGCTGACGAATTGGACCCTGAGTCCGGCTCACTTTGTGCTGCTAGTCCTACTCTCACACATGTTCTAGCCACTGTTGTCATTGACCATTTCTTTGACTCCACTACTGCGTTTGCCCTAGTTGCTGAGCTTGTTGACTTTGCTACCGCCTATCGCCTAGACTACGCTGCTACTCTTGTTGCTGAGTCTGAATCTGTCTGTCCTCCGTCCGTCAGGGGTGAGTGTGCTCTTGGCATGGACGTCCTTGAGGACAAATAGGACGAGTTTGAGTGCTTTGCAGCTGCTTTGCCTCATCTCGTGTCCATGCTGATTGCACCTGAGGGAGATCCGAATGTACCACACGTCCCGACCCAACGCTCCTACGCAGAGGCGATAGAGGGTCCCTACTCCTCTCAGTGTCAGACAGCCATGGACGCAGAGATGGCATCCTAGAAGTCCACTGTTACTTACGTCGGCGAGGTTCCCCCACCTGGGGCGAACATCGTCAGTAGCATGTGGATTTTCAGGGTGAAGCGACTGCCGGATTCTCCGGCTGTATTCAAGGAGCTTTACGTTGCATGAGGCTTCAGTCAGCAACAGGGAGTTGACTTCTTCCAGAACTTCTCCCCTACCCCAAAGATGACGACTCTTTGGCTTCTGCTGCAAGTTGCTGCTCAGCGTGACTACGAGCTTCACTCTCTTGACTTCAGCACTGCTTTCCTACAGGGCAGCCTGCACGAGGAGATCTGGCTGCGCTGCCCACCTGGCTTTACTGTCTCATTTCTTGCAGGTACCCAGTGGAGCCTCCGACGGCCAATCTACGGTCTCCGCCACGCGCCTTGCGAGTGGCACGACACACTGAAGATGTCGCTTGTGGCTCTTGGGTTGGCTCCTTCGACTGCTGACCCGTCGCTCTTTCTGCGCACCGACACTTCGTTACCGCCGTTCTACATCCTAGTGTACGTCGACGACTTGGTCTTTGCCACTGCTGACAGTGCTGGAATAGCCCACGTGAAGTCGGAGCTGCAGTAGAGACACACGTGCACAGACCTGGGTGAGCTGCGCAACTATCTTCGCTTGAAGATCACTCGGGACAGAACACTGCGCACCATTACCTTGACTCAGTGACACATGGTGCAGCAGGTCCTTCAGCGCTTTGACTTCGAGTACTCCTCGCCACAGTTCACTCTTTTGCCTACCGGTCACTCGCTCTCAGTTTTGCCTTCAAATGAGTCCGTAGAGCCGAGTGGCCCGTATCCGGAGCTTGTGGGCTGCCTCATGTACCTGATGACCTGCATTCGACCTGACCTTGCATACCCTCTTAGCATCGTGGCACGCTACGTTGTGTTATGTGATGCTATCATCTGCATTCACGTCTGTCTGCCTCCCATCATATGTTCGTGCATTGCATGTGTGGTGTGAGCGTGTGCAAGAATTTGTGTTTGATGTGGATTGATTTTTCTGAGTGTGTGTGAATGTTATTTGGCTTGAGCAGATATCTGAAGTGACTCCTCTACTCAAGAGCTTTCCGACGAACCTAGTATCGCTTCAATCGGAGCACGAACAAGAAAGTTACGAACGTTGGAGTTCGTATGCTTTTGATATTTGGTTGTGGTGACTATGGGAAGTTGTGGGGCTGACTCAATATGGGGTACAGACTTTTGGGGGTTGGGAAATTCGTCAACATCACTGTAGATGCTGCCAAGTGGTTGGGAGGAGCCAAACCAAGTTTACAAGTGTGGCCAAGTTGGGCAAGGTGGATGGCATGGGTTGGGAAAGTGACAAAAGTGAAAGTGGGGTTGCCTACGGAGAAGGGAATTGTGTGGCATGGGGTTTCCTTGGTTGGGGACTCTCTTGGGACCTTCCCTCTCGTCCTCCTCATCCCTCCCACCTGGTTTATTGCCACTCTAACTCTCTTGTGTAATGATTGTAAAATAATGAGAACTTCGTGATTGAGTTAAGATTCTATGGCAGCGTGCCCCCCAGTGCGCCGAAAGTGATAACTCAAGAAATACTTCATATTTTTGTACGATTCAACTTGGGAATTGTACTCACAGAGAAGAGCTACAACATATCTAAGTTTGGTGAAGTTTTGACGGTCAACTTTTTGTCGACGGCGTTTCTTGTGAGCGCGACTATTCTGTCCGGAAATAGAGACCAACGATTTTGAAAAATTTAGGCACCTAATCTTCGTTGACTCTGTCCTTAGTCTCTAACACGTTGCGCCAGGGAGACACCAACCAGAGAACTGGAAGGCCATTAAGAGGGTGATGCGCTACTTGTGCAGTACGTCGGGCATGGGGCTCGTACTTGGAGGACGGGCTCGAGTTGTCCTCACTGGTCACGCAAACGCTTCTTGGGTTGAAGACTTGGCTACGCAGCTATCGTCACAGGGTTACACCGTCAGCCTTGGCTCCGGCTCTGATTCGTGGTGGTCTACCCGTTCGTCTTCTGTTCTCAGCTCCAGTTGTGAGGCTGAGATCTACGCAGGGGCCATGGCTGCACAAGAGTTACGCTGGCTCACCTACCGGCTAACCGACTTGGGAGAGCCGCCTCGTTCTCCTGGAGTTCGGTACGTTGACAACAAGGCCATGATTGCCTTGTGTAAGGAGCACAGACTGGAGCACAGAACGAAGCACATTGTTCTGCACTACTTCCTTGCTCGAGAGTTGTAGTAGTGTGGTCAGCTTTGTCTTGATTACGTGGCCTCTCTGGCCAACACTGCTGATATCTTCACCAAGGCACTTCAGCCTTGTGATCATCATCGTTTCTGTACTATTCTAGGCCTTGTGCCTACTTTGCCTCACTTGCTTACTTCTTGACTTTGCCTGTACTGTGATCTATATACTTATACCTGCATGCTTGCACTTGCTAGATTGTGATCACTGTACTGCTTGTTCTCCTTTATATATATAACTCTGCATGTGAACTGGCCTTATGGCCACTTGCTTGTGCTTAGACTGTGTGGTGACTTCATGATCCACCCTGCGCTTGCTTTGTTTTGTCGTTTCTCTTGACTGGTCTTGTGACCATTGCTTTTTCTTGCTATCCCCCATTTCGCCTATGGGGGTGTGTCAAAACATATATGCTTATGTTGTTTAGGATATATGGGTGCTAACACTAGGGGGTACACAATTTCACTCAATGTTGCTCTTGTACCCCTCCCCTTGACCTAATGACCACACTTTTCTTCTCGATAGCATCGAGCGTGAAGCCTGCCCCCAGTTTGGAGGTTACTCGCAGCTACATCTCCCGCACCAGCTCCCGAGGATCCGCTGGGAAGTCCAGGTTTTTGAGGAGATATAGGTACTCCCCATGCTGATGATTCACCATCTTCAATACCCGCAAGAGTTCTTCGAACAGCGTTGTTCTGGAGTCCTCCAGCCCCAGACCGAGTCCCGCCCAGGATACGCCCTGCCACTCCCATTCGGCCACAAGGACATCGATCTTCCCCCATCTTCCTCGCTTGTCACTTGCTTCACGTCGTTTACCAACCCCTGCCAATCTCCTTCCAGGGCTCCCTCCCGGATCTGTGCTGGGAAGTTGGCCTTCAGCAGCTGCGCATGATGGTGCGCCATGCGACGGATGACCAGGTTGGCTTCCACGTAGACCCATCGCTCGATCACCCAACCTGCCTTGAGTGCGTCCGCCAGTCCGGTACCCAATCCTCTAAAGAGCTCCAACATTCTCACTGGCTTTTGCAGCAGGAGCTTGTTCAGGATTTCTCCCGGTATCCGCTGCTTGCGCTCCGCCCAATCCTCCTCCTCCCGATCGTGCATCTAATCTTCCACCTCGTACCAGCTGACTTCTTCAACGGTTCCTCCAGATCCGCCATTGTTGCTTTGAATGCTCCCTTTGGCTCTTGCTTGACGAATTGGACGGGTAGCTGCCCTCGACGTCCTCCTTCCTCCCAGTACCTCTGGCGGTATACCACTTTTTCCTTCCACGTGCAGATCGTGGCCCCGATTTAGTATATCAGGTTTATTCCGAGGAGCAGATCGTAGTCCTCCAATTCCGAGACACCGCAACGCATGCGTCTTGCACTCATCCTTCTCGCCTGGTTTCAGCACAATCTCCACTGGTCTCTTTGTGCACGGTAGCCACTTCGGCTCTCCGCCCTCCGCCATCATCACGTGGATGCCGCACGTCTGCAGCCTCTCGGGTCCGTTTAGCGGCATCCGCTCGGCCAGTCCTTTGCCAATCAGCTTGTGGTGAGCCCCGGTGTCCACAATTGCCATTTCCACGGATATCCTTACCACTGATATGGCTCTTTTCGCAACTGCCAAGACGGTCGACTAGCACACCAATCTTTCGCGCGGGTGCCGATGCCGACTCCTCCTGCTCCGGATCCGGCTCACACCTACGTGCATCGACCCATAGATTTTGTGGCTTCCTCCATCGGAGCGGGTTGCCGCCTCGCCCATCTGGCACACCCTTCACATGGCGTGTTCTAGCCATTAGCTTGAAGGACGCTTCCGTGTAGCACTCTTCCTCTTCTCCCCAGCGAACATCACGGGTTCCGGTGTCGGACTCTCCTCCAGACGCTCCAATTGCACGTGTAATTTCTTTATCTCCGCCTCAATTTCTTCTCGTTTCTTGAATCTCCCCTTTGGCGGCTTCCGCGCGAGCAGTCTTCCTCCTTGTGTCCTTTCCGTCTGCACGACTTGCAGGTGGGCGCTCTGGGGCAATCCCTCTTGAAGTGCCCCGGTTCACCGCAGATATCGCATCGGGGCGCTTCCGAGCAGTCCCGTTGCAGGTGGCCGGCATGTCCGCAGCGATGACACTTCCTTCAGTCCGCCCATGCTTGCTCCTCTCCGCGCCTTGCTGCCTCCCGGCGGCCTGCTTCTCCTTGTGGCATGAGTGACCATGCTCCTCACTGACGTTCAGTTCCCCGAGCTTCCGCGCGCTCGAGTTCGTACAGCTTCTGTCATGTCTCGTACCGCCCGCCCAGTTCGCATACTTGCTCCAGCGAGGCCTCCCAGCCCAGGTCAAAGGCCTTGCTTTTGAGCTCCTTCACCATGTCCTCATCAAGGCCTCCTAGGAATTTTCCGACGAGCCGCCTACTGTTGGATCATTCCATGTCTGTGGCCAATTCCTTCAAGCGCCCGTAGTAGCTGAGCAAAGACTCCCCACGTTGGCGCGCGAACATCGCGTACTCCCGTATTTTTACCGGAGTCTGCACCGGGAACTGCCGCTGCAGCCTGCGTATGAACTCCTCCACAATCTCCCAGATGTGAGGATCTCCTCGGCGATGCTCCTGAATCATCTCCGCCATGACCATCCAGTATCACGTCTCGGCCTATCTGATCAGCGTGACAGGCCGCGGAAAAACTCCTCTAGCTCCAATCCATCCCTCTCCCGGTGGTAGCGACAGTTCTCCACCTGCATCACGTAATTTCGCAAATCCGCTCCCTCGCCTTGCCTTCCTGCAAACCTCTCAGGGACTCGGACTTCCAGCAGGTCCATGTAGCACCAACGGGCGTAGCTTCACCCTTCTTCCGCCTTGAAGATCCGGCTCGAACTCCGCCTCCTTTCTTGCGACGGCCACCCACTCGCCGCCTCTGCCCTCGAGGAGCCTCGCTCCACCGACTCGCTTCGTTGCAGCTGTCGTCCTCGCTCTTCGCCCAAAGCCGTCACCCCCGCTGCCGCCCCTACTGCCGATAGATCTCCTTGGCTGTACCGCCGCGCGGGAGGTCCATAGATCTCGCCTCTCCCCGACTTAGCGCCGACGGAGGTCCGGCCTACCTCATGTTCTGCCGACCCTTCGTTTACGTTCTCCCCGTGCATTGCAGCCAGCGCATGGCTAACTTCCCTCGTGCTCGGCTGGTATATTCAACCTGAGCGTAGCTCCATTTCCTTATGCAGAACCTTGTTTCTTTGTCAAAAAATCCCGCACTTCCTCGACAGTTCCTGCATTGGGTTGGCCTAACTAGGAATGTAGTTGAGGCCCAAATATCCACTCGAGAAGGAAACCAAGAAACAAGCACAGAACAGATAGGCCTAGGCTTCTGTATACAATGCAAAGTGCCTGC